GACATACAAATAACATAATTTAAGTTTGATGAGTTTAACTGCAAAGCAGATAATGCTATTAGAAATTGAAATAAAGTAGAAAAACTTACTTTTCGGCATACAAATTACTTTTTTTCGTGTTAAATTGTCTGTGTTTGACAAAATGTGCTGATTTTTCACACGTGATAGCAGAACTGAATTGGGCATGCACAGGATGAGTCACATCATTTGAAACTTAGCCCTGATTGGAGAAATTGGAAGTGTTACAACTGACCCACGTTACAACTATCCCCGGTCTCCCCTACGTGTAGCATTGTACATGTGCCATAACTAACTGCTACACTAGCCGTATTGCGTCACACTAAACGCATGTCAACATGCTAGCTAAGAAAAAAAATAATGAGAATTTTAAAAATTAGCATGTGTAACGTACACATACTGGGAAATTATTTACTACTACTATTTATTACTACTACTTGATATCTCTATCTGATAAGAAAACTATTCAATCAGATAGTTATTTGTGGTGAATGAAATACAGTTATAGTTTCAAGCAGTTTTCAAACCTTTAAAAGACAACATTAAAATCCAAGCGTTTTCAAGCATTTCAAGCACCCGTACGGATTTCTGTCCTCTTGTAGACCAACCGCAGTATTTTCAGCGGTGTTATTAAACTCCACACTCCGCTCCTCCAGTGTAACTACCAAACTAAACGCCTCAAATGGCTGCAATCCAGGCCATCCGTCGCCTCTTTGTTACTTCGGAAACATGGCTGAACAATTTCTCTTCAACGACGTAATCCGACAACAACCGATCTCTTTACCCGTCGGCTTCCCGTGGCTGTCATGCGACCGGCTATTGCAGTTAATAATACAACAGCTTCTTGCCATTTTTTGTGTTTCTTTTTTATCGCTGTGTAACGTAATTTTGATTGAAAGCCTGCGTGCGCTAGTACCTCTTGCCACGAGTTCCCAGAATCCTTTGCGGTTTTACCCCTGAATGACGTCACCTTTTCACCCAGCGACACCCAGCGTCACCCAGCGACACGAAGAGGCAACGCTGCGTGACGCAATGGCGGTTTGATCGAATGTGGGCGGGGCTGACTGCTTTAACGTGTGTGACGTCAAGTGCTAACGCTTTAATCTTTTAATGTTACCTCATGCCTGCAAACCCATAAACAGAGACTAAACTCCCAGTTAGTTTGAGTGTTGGACATTTTCTAAAAATTTAAAAAAAGCAACTTCACTTAAAGCTTAGCACAAACCTAAGCACAAAGATGCTGACAAGCTATGAATTTACAATGTGCAGTGTTCAGTCTGCCATTGAGAGGTCCTTTAAACGAATTACTTACAGTCAGTGGGAAGATTTATGGGCAGGTTCCCCTGATAAATCCACTAAATCTGTTCTGAAAGAACTGCTCCAGGAAGTAATAAGGCTTTTAACAAAGTGTATTTTGGAAATGCTTAAAAACAAAAGATCAGTGTCTCAAAAGCAGGTAATGTCCACTTTGAGGGAAAGTGTTCCTCAATCTTTTGCTGAAGTCCTGTGCTCTTCAGAGAAGGTGCAATGCAAAATCGTTGAGAATTTCAACCAGCTAATTGCCAAAGAGGTCACAGAGAGTGTGAATTCAGCTGTATCTGCAGACGAGGAGACCGCAGAGCCTGTAAAGAGAAGGATGGACACTCTGCTCCGCCAAACAATTACGTTTTTAAACTATTTAAGTGGACCATTGACAATTATCTGCAAAGTTAGAAAGAAAAAAGATTATGTAGTTACAGGATTCACAACCTCTGAATCAGAGGCAACATCTGTGGAAAATATTTCTGATGATGATGATGGTGGGAAAAGAAGATGTGAAAAGAAAACAAATACGATTCAAGAGGCTTACTGCAAAGAAAACACATGTGATGACATTGGAGAACCCCAGCTGAATGAGAAATCACCTCAAAACCTTGAGTCCTCAAAGATATCACCTGCAGCTTGCGAGCCTAAAATTGCAGGTGATTCAGAGGTCAAAGAGTTGAAAAGTCCCACAAAAGATTCTTCTGCAGATGACAGAGTGTCTCAGCAGATGTTAAAAGCTGAGGATGAAAGACTCAAAGCAGCTGTAGAAGTTCTGGCCGGGAACCTTATTAAGCGGCTCTTCTGCAAAATGGACATGAAATGTCACAAAGAATTCTGCCAGTCACTAAAGAGGTTGTTGTTGGTGAAATTCTGGGCTGAAGTTGAGGGGAAAAACTTAAATATAACCCCAGAAAAGATTATAAACCTGGAAAAGAAAATTTACAAAGCTCTCCATAAAGATGTGCGCTTGACTCCAGCTTTACTTTTAACTCTAACAACGGAGGGTCAAGCACTCTTTGAGGGGGTGCTTAGTTTTTATTTCAAAAAGTATCTACTAAAAAAGAAACCATCTATATTCAAACGTTTTTTCTCCACAATACGCAAAGCCATCTTTTCCCGTTTCTTACCCAACAGTCACCCTTAAGTAACTGCAGCCATGACTTCCACTTTTTTTTAAAGATGAAATTTAGGGCTTCACTTGTTTAAATTCAATTGGACACAAACAACTGATCACCTCAAATTGGCCAGTAAATTTAAAATATAACCCAAAAAATAACTGGTTAAAATAAAATTGTAAAAAGAACTTCTCCCCCAGCCAGTCGCAGCAGATGGCTGTCCCTTTTTGTGCCTGGTTCTGCTGAAGGTTTCTTCCTATTAGAAGGGAGTTTTGCCTTCCCACTGTTGCCTCGTGCTTGCTCAGAAGGGATTTTTGCTGGGTTTTTTCTCTAATACTGCAGGGTCTTTACCTTTGCAGTATAAAGAAACTTGAGGTGAAAGCTGTATTTGGTATTTTTTTTTTGTTCAGATAATAATACCAAACAAATTATTCATTAATCAATAAAATACCACCAAAAAAATTACATCTGAATTTCTGCTTATTTCATTTGCTGTCAGATTGTATGTATTGTACTTATTCTATTGTATATAATATTTTATTCTATTTTGCATAGTATGTTATTCTATCTTATCTTATGCTCCTGTATTGTTTTTTTTTCTTTTTCTTAATATTTACTGCTCTTAACTTGTACTTTCTGCAGTGACCAAAAAGCTTCTTACTTGTGGGCCTAATAAAGGCTTATCTTATCTCATTGGTAGTGTAGTGGTGATTCCATTCTTTGTCCAACCAAACAGCCAACAATTTAAAATCAACAAGTCTGCTGTAATACTTTGTACGCAGACAAAACAAGTACAATGTCCAAAACTTGAAAGTTGTATTTTATGATTTATTTATCCAGTTTAGCAAGCAATAAACAAAAGATCAATTTTTATTGTTTCCTGCTGCTTCCACTGTTCTTGTAAAAAAACAAAAAAACATAGACCCACCCCAGTGCATACTGGTCCTATACCAGTCCCTTTACTTATAGAAAATGGCCCTACACTTCTTCCTGGCTGACTTAACAAGATAAACAGCCACAAAAAAAAATTAAAAAAAAGAACCCCGCCGGATAGGGGAGGTGTGGAAAGCCAGATTGGGCGCCCCCCTTCCAGCTCTCCTCTCTGCTCTCCTCTATCTTGTCCCTTTTGTCTTACTTCTTTCTGTCAACCTTTTCTATCCCTTTGAAGAAGTTAGGCTCCATAAATGCTAAAGAGGTAAAGATTATTTATCAGTTGCAGTGAATAGAAAATTAAACTGTAGAAAACTAAACAGAAGAATGAAGAAGAGAAATAACAAGTTAACATAAACCAGTGACACACTCCAGGGCCAGATCAACCCTGGCAGGGCCTCCTTGGATGAGGGTGTCTAAGGATAATGGCCGAAACACCCGATGAATCCAAGGTCCACTACTGACGATGTGTCGCAAACTGGTAAAGTATCTGGGCTGCCTTTCCTCATAACAGCCATCCTTCAAGACTTTCTCCATTTAAAGCAATGTATTATCAGGGACTGTAACATCTAGTCCTTTTACTGAATCAAATAAAACTTGTAAATAACCCCAAAATATAAGTAAGCCAACATCAAAATTTCAAAATAATAAAAATAAAAAGCTCCAACAGGTAGAAAATAAAGAAAAAAAAAAATCATGGAAATCGGAGAGGATAGGACCTGGAATGATCAGGCGTTAAATGAGGGATTTCCTCCCTATGGTGAGTGAGTGAGGTGAGTTCCTTATCTCCAGGTGTGCAGGACGCAAAGGCACCCCTTCACCAGAAGATGTGGTTAAAACACATCACACACTTCAAAAAAAGGAGGGAAAAAAGCACACCTTTGGCAAAGAAAGACAAAAAACCTCACCTTTCCTTTTCTGAATACAGAAATTTGTTTTTTTGAAAATTTAATTTAAATCATAAATGTATTCAAAATCTCGGTTTTCAGTGATCCAAAATTGCCGTGTAGCCTACGTGTAGCATTGTACATGTACCATAACTAACTGCTATACTAGCGCTGCAGTATTGCATCACACTATGGTTTATGGTTTTAGTTATTACACTTTTCAGAGCAGCTGGAAAATAGACTAGTATTAAATAGGAGCTACATATAAAATAGTATAAAATAGTATGGATACTCACATGAGTACCCTCCCCCGGTGTTTTCCGCTTCTTCCGTCATGTTACCTGTGTTCAAAACTTAGCTGACAGTTCACCACCTGTTAATGAGAGCTTAAAATTACAGTATTAAATATCACGGCATATCTATGTATGTTTTTATGTTTCTTAACTTTGCATTGGCCTAGGGCCACTGTGAGGACCAATACCTATATGGGACATACAGATGTTTTATACAAATTACACAATTGTATATATTTGTACATTCGACAGTTGAGTCGAGCATCGAATTGCGTCACACTGCAATGATCGCAGCGTATGTTTTTGTATGCCTCCTTTAAACTGGCGCACGACCTTTGCAGATGAAAATGGGAAAAAAAAGTGTATTTTAATCACGCGTGAAATGACTGATTGGAAATTTTCATCTGTGAGGTTCGTTGTACAATTTGATGTTTTCCTGACCCCTGCTGGTATCGCACCCCTCTAACAGGTCAAGAAATATCGAGGGTTGTATTTCCTTGTATAATAACGCTGTTATAAATGCTCGGATTTGCTTTTTTATGTTCTTAGCTGGCCATATTACATAGCAGACTCCAGTGTATAATGTCTATTATAAAGAACGGCTTATTTTACTCTATTGAAAGAATAAATAGGAATGTTATTGTTTTGTTCGCTTGCATGTACATGTGCCTGGTCGAAAGTTACTGTTGTTGCAGACTGATGCCAACAGCTATGCAGGCAATTTTTTTCATTACTGCCTTTGTAGAGATGCCTTTGAGCAAGACCAACACCACTAATGAGATTTATAAGTTTAGGTGATGCTTTTAACTAAGTGGTGTCTAACTCGAATAGAAGTAGTGCACTGTACTTCAAGTACTCCGTCATATATAAAAGTCCTGCATCCACAAAGTTTCTTATTATGAAAATAGACCTAAAGTATTAAAATGATAAAGCATTCAATGCAGAATAACGGCCACAGATTTTAAAACATTCATTATCAGGCATGATACCCATCATCAGCAAAGAGTCATATGACGCCACTATGAGTCACAGAATAGTATAATTGCACTTCATATTTCGATCACTTTTTCCACCGAGGTTTTGACACCGTTTTAACTAATATTTAACGAAACACGCAGGTCGGCGCTCTTGGACAAAGGCTGGGTCTTACGTCGCCTTCACGCTCACGTAATTACCGCATCTCTGTCCAATTAAAGCATAACAATTCACAACCACATCTGGGTTTTCGTTTAGCATCCAAACGTAAATAACTTAAAAAAGTCTGAATAGGCCGTCCAAACCAAAGTTTCGTCTTTTTTTAATATTTACATTAAATTGGTTTTTAAATAGCTGTAAAATAAATACACAATAATAATCATTATAACAACGATACGTTCTTCTCTCGCCAAACACAACAAATTACAAACGAGTGTTTTATTTTTTTAAAAAAGAGGTTTGTTTATTTAAAGAAAAGAATTCATAAACACGATTTCGTAGCACTCCTTAGTACCGTCTTACACTTGGAAAAGCACTATTTTCCAAAACCACGTGAATGCAACAGCGACCTTAGATGACATTTCAGAGACCCTTTAAAAACTATAGACTACCCCTTCAACATGATACATTCAACGCGTCCTGATGTTAACATAAAAATTTCAGGGGTGAATACATACGTGGTCTTTTATAAAAGGAAGGAAATATTTACTTAACGTTGAAAAACTGCGCAGCAAACGCCAGATTTTTATTGATCAGGAAGTGATGACCAATAACGTGACTCTTCTTTATGAATGTGATGTCATCTGACCGACGTCCATTAACGGTTTCATTTGGAATAATCAACACGAGAGATGTTAATTTTAAGCTATTATATTGTAAAGCAATTTATAATAGTCTTTAGCAGCAGGTTGGGTCCACGGAACAGACTTCTTAAGCGGTTGTGTCGCTTGTATCGGTTTAACAGCAACAGGTGCTTCGGAGAGTTATGCTGCATTCGGGGAGGGTTTGCTTTTGCTATTGTGTAAACATAACAGCTTTTCTGGCTACTGTTATAAATTATTAAAATAAAATATTAAAAGTCTGCAATCATAAAAAAAAGAATAAGTAATCACCGTAGCATATTATTTAGAAGTTTTCGATGCGCGTATATGCAGATATGATTGTAAGTCAGTTTAAGAGCTACTAACTACGACTTGGGTGAACGCCTCACAAACCCCGCCTCTCCCGTCTGTGTCTCGCGAACAGCAGGAGTTTAGAGCCTCCGGGTGTCATTACGAAAGTCAGTTCATTAGTCAGGTCGACTGTCCACTGAGGAGGACTTGCTCTCAGTTTTCAGTTCAGGTGGACCTTTTTACATCTCTACTAACAGGATGTCTCCGTCCACGTCCCCCCGCTTCTTCACGGAGAGGGAGGTAGCCCGCCACTGCACCAAGGAGTCCTGCTGGGTGCTGATGGGGACCAGGATTTACGACGTGACAGCCTTCTTGCGGATGCACCCGGGTGGGGAGGCACTAATACGCAGCCGCTCCGGCAAGGACGTGAGCCAGGCGATGGAGGGACCCCCACACCGGCACTCGGAAAACGCCAGGCGGTGGATGGAGCAGTACTACATCGGGGAACTGGACAGAGACAGCGGCACCGACGAGGCACAGGTACCTCCCTTCCTCCCTAACTAGCTAGGATGACACCGCTGACCTCAGAGTAATCAACTTAAGAGGAAAAGAAATAAAACTTTCTTCCCGCATCTTCTGTCGATCTAGTTAAAGATGTGTTAAAGTGATATCTCATTTTTGAACCACTCACCTGTTGAAAGGTTAAAGTTTAATATCTTTCTTGTTAACTTAGCTCTGTGGACTTTAGAGGCATAAAAATGTAAATTGATCCCAGATTTACGTTGTCAACTTTCAGAAGTTTCTAGCATGTTTGTCATTTGGCGTCTTTAATCCCCCCTGCCCTCCCCGTCCCCACGAGCCCTGCCAGGTGAGATCAATATTCCTCACACCTTGTTAAAAATCTGTCAACAGTGTCACATTTTCTACTGTAAGGAGGTTTAGAGGTGTTTATAGACTTCATTTGATTCCAGACCCAGAATTAGGAGAAGGAAACTAGTCCCGGGCTCTCGGAGCAACAGGTGTATAACCCGCTCTCATTTGACTTTATTGGGCGTTTTCCTTCTTAGGTAACGAGGAAAAGGGAACTGGTATTGATCATTGAGGACGGGAGTAAGGGGTTGGTGATGGAAAAGCAATGCTTGTGTAATTCCTAGGTGGAGGAGGGAGGGGCTAACAGGTGACATGAGAGACCTGTGGGGTTTTGGTGAGCTCTGGTGGGTGTGGAAGGGTCAGACCTGTTAATGAATGATTCAAGGCCTGTGCCTGTGTGCGTGTTTCTGAAAGAAGGCGAGAGAAGGAAACTGGTTTGTCTTGTCCCGGGAGAGGGGGGGCTGCAGACTGGGGGGAAACATGCCCCCTTCTGTCTCTGTAAAATGAATCCACACCCAGCCAGGTCCTGCGGGTTTCTGTGTTTCTGTGCGTGTGAGGAGGGAGTTTGCATAAATCTCTTGCAGACACAGTTCACATTTACATGGCTTGCCCACTCTCACGTGTGTCCTTGCTTGTTGGTTGCATCTCTACACAGAAAGTTTACACAACTGCACTAACAAAATGCTCAGCCTCTGTGGGACTTCGAGGGTTAGTGACTGATAGCTGTAAGTACAAAGGAAATTACTTTTGGACCCCCTTTGTCTGTCAGCTGTGAGATCTGCACATACATGTAGTTGACAAATTTGAATGGGGGGGGGCTGGGCTATGACTACAAAGGAGTCAGATCGCCTTGAGGCGACTTTTGTTGTGATTTGGCGCTATATAAATAAAATTGAATTGAATTGAATAGATTGATCCAAAAGATGCCAGACCCTGCCTTTTACTACCACGGGATCCCCACACTATAGAGGCCAAGCCTATGGGTTTTTCCTTTAATTTGTCATTTTTAATGTCTTTTTTTGCTTATAGCTGATGGAGGATCTGCGTGGCAGTTATGTAAACACACATTTTCACACAGTTTCACATGAGCTGTTTGTGATGTTGCGTTTTGTTTTTCTTAGCTGCTGTTGTTGCTTCAAGAGACAATGTAAAAACAAGTTTTTCAAGACTTTTGATTTAAATTGTGCCTCATTTGGATGCAGTTCACGACTGAGGTCAGTGACTGGGTGTATGGAGGACCTGTTTTGATTCATGTCAAAATAATCTGTATTTCATTCGTCTTTTATATGACAGAAGCCATTTTAACTAATCATGCCCTTCAGGATGAGACTTAAACCAGCTTTCTTGGGATTGGCTGTCCCTCACAAACCAAAAGGGTTAAACGGCATGTGGGAGGGGCTTCTGGGTTCAAAGGCAGATTGGCATAATGTCTGCTCCTTACCAGAATTTGTTCTGCACAAGGGCAAACGAGGCTTCTTCCTCCCTTTCACAATAAAAGTCCTTGACTTATAGATCACTGTGCATGTAAACTGTTTACAGAAGTGTATTGAAGCAATTCACAACCATTTCTAGATGCAAATCAAGCAAAGTGAGAAGAAATCAAGAGTCAGATGAAACGAAACCTATAGAAACAAGAGAAAAAATACAAAGTTTTAACAACAGCAAGAAATGTATTTTTTTATTTGTTTATTTTAATTTTAATCATTCATTTAGCAGGAAAAAAATCAGGCTTGCAGGGTCAGCTCAGGTCAGATCTTAAAGATATGTGCTCTTAATATCATATAGCGCCAAGAGTAGATTATGTTGTCACTAGATTACTTTTCTGAATGATGACTTATTATTGATTTACCATGGGTGTGAAATTCTGAAAGTATGAACACGTAGGTCACAAGACAGACCGACTGACTCAACAGGATATTCCAGTCATTTCAGTGAAAGATTACGTTTGTATAGTTCGTTCTCTATTCATGGCTGACGAACTGCTCACCCTCTCCCTTCCCAGTGAAACTGCTGCTAATGTATGTGTGTTTTTTTTTTTTTCTCTTTAATAATTTGCATTGTCACATCACCAGTGCAGAAACACACTCTGAGACTTTAAAGCAGTTTTAGTTCTTTGTTTTTTGATGGAAACAAATTAATAAATCAACCGTTTAGTGATAAATGTGATATACAATTGTGTGGACTGGAGAGAAAAATCAGTGGAAGTACCACAGTTTGGGCTTCAGACATGAATCTCAATACTGTTATTATTCTTATCAGCTATATTATTATTAGCCAGAGGTGGGCTTTCTGTGTTTGTGGGAAAATCTGCTTGCAGTAAAAGAGAAACCAAAGTTTAGTGCTAAACCGATTTCGTGCTTATTCCATAACTGTAATAAGAAAGAAATAGTCTTCTAAATATTAAGCCACTGTTTTAGATGCCATCTAAAACACTCCCATTAAGACATTTATATTTTTGAGTAATCAGTAAATAAATTAATTGTTCTGCATGTTTGATCCCAGCTTGAGGTCGATGCTCCATAAGAATGCTCCTAGTTTTCTTATTCTAGGAAGAAGCTGTGGAGCAGAGGGTTAACCCCCTGCTAAGTAGAAAGACGTACTGTCTATTCTCTGTCTCAGGGGAGACTGCCTCATAGGAAAACTATAAGACTGCAAGCAAGTCTGTATGTAGAAAGCTGTGAGCTTGTACAGCGTGCTGTTTGAGGAAGCAGCACTATTTAAGAAAAAAAAAAGATTAGATGCAACGATTTCGTAGTAGGAAGCATGCATCCTTGAGTGAGAAGGAAGAATCTAATTGTTTTCAATCTATATTTTTTCTAAACGGCGCCTCAGAAACTCAAATGTCAAGATCACCTGAGATTGGCAACATCTCTTGAGCGATAATCTTTCTAAGAACTGCCAGTTAAGAGTTGATCTTCAGATGGTAGATGCTGCACTGCAGTCAGAGCAGGAGGCGGGACTCGCTTTTCCCAGGTGTGTGAATGACAGAGGTTGTACGTGTATACGCATTTGGGAGGTTTACTATCAAACACTAGGTAATGTTTACACTATCAGCAAATCGAACTGGTTTGTAATAGTTGTTCATTCCTCCTACTGACAAATTGTGTTTTGAAATGACTTCTTTTTTTTTGCCCATGATTTAAAAAAGAACTAAAACAGGAAGTAGTGCAGTGTCTTCTGAGATTGACTGCTCAGATAATGTGTGACCATAGATAGTTTAACATTAAAGATGCTAAAAAAAGGTTTTTCGTATACTAAATGATACTAAAGCTCACTGTTGTATTAATAGTACTCATTCGCAACAGTATTGATTTATTTCAATTTTTTTTTTTTTTTTTTTTTTTTTTTTAGCACCAAATCACAACAACAGTCGCCTCAAGGCGCTTTTTATTAGGTAGACCCTACAATAATACATATAGAGGAAAAAAAACCCCAACAATCATATGACCCCCTATGAGCAAGCACTTTGGGGACAGAGGGAAGGAAAAACTCCCTTTTAACAGGAAGAAAGCTGCGGCAGAACCAGGATCAGGGAGGGGCGACCAGCTGGAGTGAGAGAAGGAAGACAGGACAAAGACATGCTGTGGAAGAGAGCGAGAGATTAATAACAAGTGTGATTCAGTAGAGAGGTCTATTAACACAGACCTTGACACCAACAGTGCCATCTTTGCCTCCACCAGTTGACACAGTCCCTCCTTTCATTAGCAGAAGCAGTTGATGTTCACAACCTATGTAGTGTCAGTTACCCGATAACCACAAATCAATCTGTTCTAGATTACATCATTGTTTTAGTACGCCTAAGTAAATGCCATGTACTGTAGTATTATTAGGAAGGTTTAGTCGAGGCCTGAATACAACAAATGTGTCCCGTGATTTATTTATTTATTTTTTCTTTAAATATATACTAGAGGACTGAAGCCGAAGTGGACCAGTAAGAAGAGAGCAGAGGCATCTATCACTGTATTCATAACAGCTGACTTCTTTTTCAATAGGTGTGTATTTTAACCCTCTTTTAAGAGCACTTTAAACCTCTCGAAGGTTGAAAGTGCTTTTAACTTCATTCACTTTTGTTTTTTGTTTTTGGTATGACAGATGATCCGTTTATCTACAAAACCTGCTGACACTCATATCAATACTTTTTTTTTTTCAGTCTTTTAGGCTACTGCAAATTTAGATTTAGAAAATCTAGTCATCTTATTAGACCTGACTCTACACAAATGTTTGACTACGCTCAGAAGTTCTCCTGTTGATTAGTAACTATGCATAATGTTGTTTCTATGTTGTTAAAGTGAACATGTGATGCATATTTTAAGCTCTGTATTGTTGTTCTTCCAGCTCTGTCCTGTTGTTCTTCTACTAGAGTAACGTTGTATGATTCAAATTTCAAAGTAATCCCTCTTTATATTAAACTGGGACTTGTTGAACCTTACCTCTGCCTCCTCCAAAAACATCCTTTTTTTAAAAAAAAAGAAAAGAAAAAAAGAAGCCAATCTTCTTTTGATTGGCTGCTCTTTGTAAACAGAAGGTTTTGAATAGCAGGTGGGTGGGGCTTCTGAGCATGGTCATTACTGTGAGCACATCCTGAGCATCATTTGTGTGAAAAGTAGAAAAGCTCTCTTAATTGTTTTCATTGATTACTTGCACATATGCTGATGTCATTATGTGTGATA